GACTGATGTCACCTGTGCTGACACAGGTGCGTGATGTCACCTGTACTAACACAAGTGTGTGATGTCACCTGTACTGGCACAGGTGTCACCTGGGGGTGACGTCACCTGTACTGGCACAGGTGTGTGATGTCACCTGTACTGGCACAGGTGTCACCTGTGGGGCTGATGTCACTTGTGCCATCAGTGTCACCTGTGCCATCACAGTGTCACCTGCGTGATCACAGTGTTACCTGTGGGGATGACATCACCTGTGCCATCACAGGTATCACTTGTAGGTGACATCACCTGTGCCATCACAGTGTTATCTGTACCACCACAGTGTCACCTGTGCCCTCAGTGTCACCTGTGCCATCAATATCACCTGTACCACCACAGTGTCACCTGTGCCATCAGCGTCACCTGTGCCATCACAATGTCACCTGTGCCATCAGTGTCACCTGTGCCATCAGTGCCATCTGTGCCATCACAATGTCACCTGTGCCATCAGTGCCACCTGTGCCATCACAATGTCACCTGTGCCATCAGTGTCACCTGTGCCCTCAGTGTCACCTGTGCCATCAGTGTCACCTGTGCCATCACAATGTCACCTGTGCCATCAGTGCCACCTGTGCTATCAGTGTCACCTGTGCCATCAGTGTCACCTGTGCCCTCAGTGTCACCTGTGCCATCACAATGTCACCTGTGCTATCAGTGCCACCTGTGCCATCACAGTGTCACCTGTGCCATCACAATGTCACCTATGCTATCAGTGTCACCTGTGCCATCAGTGTCACCTGTGCCATCAGTGTCACCTGTGCCATCACAATGTCACCTGTGCCATCAGTGCCACCTGTGCCATCAGTGTCACCTGTGCCATCAGTGCCACCTGTGCCATCACAGTGCCACCTGTGCCCTCACCTTCGCTGTCATCGCCGACGTCACCGATGTCACCTGTGCCATCCTCCGGCTCCTCCTCCTCCTCCTCTGGCTCCTCCTCCTCCTCCGGCTCCTCCTCCAAGGTGTCACCTGTCCCCTCCTCGTTGTCACCTGTCCCCTCCTCGTTGTCACCTGTCCCCTCCTCCTCCTCGTCCTCTTCCTCCTCTTCCTCCTCCTCCTCCTCCTCCTCGCTGTCCTCGCTGTCCCCAGCGCTGTCCTCGCTGTCCGAGGTGTCGGGGCTGTCCCCAGGTGTGTCCCCAGGTGTGTCCCCAGGTGTGTCCCCGCGCTGTCCCCACACGGTGACGCTCTCCAGGTACCAGGAGCTCTCGGGGAGGCCCCCGCAGGGCCCCTTGTGCACCTGGAGCAGCAGGAGGCGCCCCAGGGGACGGGGGACGGGGACACGGTACTCTGTCACCTGTATGGGGACAAAACAGTGTCACCTGTGTCACCGTCATGGTCATGGTGTCACCTGTGTCACCTGCATGACTGTCATTGGAGATGTTGTCACTGTCACGGTCTCACCTGTGTCACACTCATTGTGTCACCTGTGTGAATGCCATTGTGTCTCCTGTGTCACCGTCACTGTATCACCTGTGTCACTCTCATTGCGTCACCTGTGTCACCTGTGTGACTGTCATTGGGGACAGGGACACTGTGTCACTGTCACTGTCATTGTGTCACCTGTGTCACTGTCACTGTGTCACTGTCACTGTGTCACTGTCACTGTGCACCTGGAGCAGCAGGAGGCGCCCCAGGGGACGGGGGACAGGGACAGGGTACTCTGTCACCTGTATGGGGACAAAACAGTGTCACCTGTGTCACTGTCACGGTCATGGTGTCACCTGTGTCACTGTCACTGTGTCAGCTGTGTCACTCTCATTGTGTCACTCTGTCACTGTCACTGTGTCACCTGTATGACAGTCACTGTCACTGTCATTGTGTCACCTGTGTCACTGTCATTGTGCCACCTGTGTCACCTGTGTCACTGTCACTGTGTCACCTGTGTCACCTGTGTGTGTCACTGCCATTGTGTCACCTGTGTCACCTGTGTCACTGCCACCTGTGTCACCTATGTGACTGTCATTGGGGACATTGTCACCTGTGTCAGTGTCACTGTGTCATTGTCACTGTGCACCTGGAGGAGCAGGAGGCGCCCCAGGGGACAGGGGACACACACCTGGTACTCTGTCACCTGTATGGGGACAACAGAACGTCACCTGTCCCACCGCTGTCACCATGGCTGTGCCACCATTGTCACCATCGCTGTGTCACCGCTGTCACCATTGCAGCGTCACCGTTGTCACCATGGCTGTGTCACCATTGTCACCGTCGCTGTCACCATCACCAGGCCATCGTTGTCACCACTGCTGAGCCACCATTGCAGTGTCACCGTTGCCACCTCTGCTCTGTCACCGTTGCCACCATTGCAGTGTCACCGCTGTCACCTTTGCTGTGTCACCACTGCCACCACCACCAGGCCACCGTCACCACCGTGCCAGCGCTGTCACCTCGCCGTGCCACCACCGCCACCGTGCCACTGTCACCACCGCCACCTCTGGGGAACAATGTCACCATTGTCGCCGTTATTGTCACGGTGTCACCATTGTCATCATTGTCACTACCACAGTGCCACCATTGTCACCATCCCTGTGCCACCCTGACACCATTGTCACCATTGCTGTGCCACCATTGTCACCTCCATTGTGTCACCATTGTCACCTCCACCGTGTCACCATTGTCGCCATCGCTGTGTCACCATTGTCATGATTGCCACCTCCGTTGTGTCACCTGTCACCATTGCCACCGCCATTGCGTCACCACTGTCACCATCACTGTGTCACCATAGCCGCCATCACTGTGTCATCACTGTGTCACCATTGTCACCATTGTCACCTCCATTTTGTCCCCATTGTCACCTCCCTTGTGGCACCATTGTCACCACTGTTCCCTCCATTGTGTCACCATTGCCACCACCTCTGTGTCACCATTTTCACCTCCATTGTGACACCATGGTCACCATCATTGTGTCACCACCGTCACCATCACTGTGTCACCATTGTCCCCTCCATTGTGTCACCATTGTCACCTCCATTGTGACACCATTGTCACCATCATTGTGTCACCACCGTCACCATCACTGTGTCACCATTGTCCCCTCCATTGTGTCACCATTGTCACCATTGCTGTGTCACCATTGTCACCATCATTGTCACCGCCATTGTGTCACCATTGTCCCCACCACTGTGTCACCGTTGTCACCATCGCTGTGTCACCATTGTCACCATCACTGTGTCACCATTGTCACCCCCATTGTGTCACCATTGTCACCATTACTGTGTCACCATTGTCACCATTGTCACCATCATTGTGTCACCGCAGTGACAATCATTGTGCCACCATTGTCACCTCCATTGTGCCACCATTGTCACCTCCATTTTGTTCTCTCTATTGTGTCACCATTGTGTCCCCTCCATTTTGTCACCGCTGTCCCCTCCCTTGTGTCACCATTGCCACCTCTATTTTGTCCCCTCCATGTCGTCACCGCTGCCACCCCCGCCGTGTCCCCATTGTCCCCTGCCCCGCCCGGCCGTGGTGGCGCCACCCTCGTGTCCCCGTCGTGTCCCCATCGTGTCCCCAGGGCCACCCACGCGCTGTCACCTGGCCCGGCCACGCCCTGGCTGCCACCTCTGCAGTGTCACCTGCTGTCCCCTCCCCCCCCTCAGCCCCTTCTTGGGGACATTTGGGGACATTTCGGGACCCCTGGGGCCATTTTTGGGGAGGGGGGAGGTTGGGACATGGAGCCCACCACAAATGTCCCAAAAACGTCCCCAAAATGTCCTCGAATCCCCGCAAAATGTCCCCAAATCACCCCCAAATGTCCCCAAATCCCTCAAAATGTCCCCAAACCCCCCCAAAATGTCCCCAAACTCCCTCAAATGTCCCCAAATCCCACCCAAGTGTCCCCAAATCCCTTGAAATGTCCGCTAAAGTCCCCAAATGTCCCCAAATATTCCCCAAATGTCCCCAAATCCCCTCAACCACACCCAAATGCCCCCAAATCCCCCCCAAACGTCCCCAAATCCCCCCAAAACGTCCCCAAATCCAACCAAATCTCCCCCAAATCCCCTCAACCCCCACAAAGTCCCCAAATCCCCCCAAATGTCCCCAAATTCTCCTCACTTGCCCCCAGCCCCCCCAAAATGTCCCCAGGAGCCTCCCAAATGTCCCAATGTCCCCAAATCCCACCCAGATGCCTCCAAATGTCCCCAAACCCCACAAAATGTCCCCAAATCCCCACAAAATGTCCCCAAATATGGCCCAAGTGTCCCCAAATCCCCCCAAATGTCCCCAAATCCCCACAAATGCGCCCCAAACTCCCTCGAATCCCCCCAAAATCCCCTCGAGTCCCCCCCAAAATGCCCCCAAATTCCCTAAATCCCCCTCAATCGCCCCCCAACCCCCCAAAATGCGGCCCAAACCTTCCAAAATGTCCCCAAATCCCCTCCGAATGTCCCCAAACGTCCCTAAATCCCCCTCAAGCGTTCCAAACCCCCCCAAATCGCCCCCAACCCCCCCAAAATGTCCCTAAATCCCCCCCGAATGTCCCCAAACGTCCCTAAATCCCCCTCAAGCGTTCCCAACCCCCCCAAATCACCCCCAAATCGCCCCAAATCGCCCCCAAACCCCCCAAAATGTCCCTAAATCTCCTCCGTCCCCTCCGCCCCCTCAGCCGCCCCCTCAGCCGCCCGTTCCCCCCGCTGTCTCTCACCGCCCCGCATTGGAAGTCGGGTCCCCAGCGGTCCAGCGCGGTCCTGGCGCTGCTGCCGCGGCTCCCCACGAGCGTCACGGCGATGGCGTCGCTGGTGCCGGCGCCGGGAGCGCTGCCGGTGCGGACCCGCACCCGGTAAGCGGCCATGGCAATGGCGGTGTCGCTCTCCCCTCACGGTGATTGACGCGGGGAGGAGCCAATGGCGGCGGGGCTCACGCGCCGCCCGGCCAATGAGAGCGCGGCGCGGTGAGGCGCGGCCAATGGCGGGGAAGCTGGGTGGGGATGGGCGGGGTTAATCCGTCACTTCCGCCTTCACTTCCGGCGGCGCTTCCGGGTGCGATGGACCCCGAGTTCGACGATGTGGTGGCGGTGGAGGATCTGATGGTGAGGCCACGCCCCCCTCTCCGCGAGTGGACACGCCCCCTTTTCGGGAAGCCACGCCCACCCCCGTGGACCCCCCTGAGTGCCGCGAGCCCCCCCGGCCACGCCCCTTTTGCGGCCCCCGAAACCGCCCGGCTTGGCCACGCCCACTCGCCCTTCGCCTAGCCACGCCCCATGTGTGACCACGCCCCTTTGGTGGGGTGGTCACGCCCCCATCTGGGTTGGCCACGCCCCCCCTCCGGGACCCCCGGGGGTCTTGGCTTGGGGGCTCCGCTCGTTTTGGCCACGCCCATTTTTGTGACCACGCCCTTCTGATAAGCCACGCCCATAAACCCCCTCCCAGTAACACCCAGTGCTCCCAGTAAGGGCCCAGTGGTTCATCCCAGTGCTCCCAGTAACCCCCAGTAGCCCCCCAGTGCTCCCAGTATCACCCAGTGCCTTCCCAGTGCTCCCAGTAGCCCCCCCCAGTATCCTCCCAGTGCTCCCAGCAACCCCCAGTGCCATTCCCAGTGCTCCCAGTATCACCCAGTGCCATTCCCAGTGCTCCCAGTATCACCCAGTACCTTTCCAGTATCCTCCCAGTGCTCCCAGTAACACCCAGTGCCATTCCCAGTGCTCCCAGTATCACCCAGTGCCATTCCCAGTGCTCCCAGTAACCCCCTGTACCTTTCCAGTATCCTCCCAGTGCTCCCAGTATCACTCAGTGCTCCCAGTAAGCGCCCAGTAACTCCCCAGTGCTCCCAGTAACCCTTCCCAGTATCCTCCCAGTACACCCAGTACCTTTCCAGTACCCTCCCAGTGCTCCCAGTAACACCCAGTGACTCACCCCAGTGCTCCCAGTAACCCCCCAGTGCTCCCAGTAACCCCCAATTACTTATCCCACTGTCCTCCCAGTGCTCCCAGTAACACCCAGTGACTCACCCCAGTGCTCCCAGTAACCCACCAGTGCTCCCAGTAACCCCCAGTGACTCACCCCAGTGCTCCCAGTAACCCACCAGTGCTCCCAGTAACCCCCAGTGACTCATCCCAGTGCTCCCAATCACTCCCAGTATCTTCCCCAGTCACTCCCAGTGCTCCCAGTGCCATTCCCAGTGCTCCCAGCCACTCCCAGTACCCTCCCAGTGCTCCCAGTAAGGGGCCAGCGCCCTCCCAGTCACTCCCAGTGCTCCCAGTAACACCCAGTGACCCATCCCAGTGCTCCCAGTACCTTCCCAATGCTCCCAGTATCCTCCTGGTGCCATTCCCAGTGCTCCCAGTGCCCTCCCAGTGCTCCCAGTAATACCCAGTGACCCATCCCAGTGCTCCCAGTGCCCTCCCAGTAACACCCAGTGTCATTCCCAGTGCTCCCAGTGCCATTCCCAATTCTCCCACTGTCCTCCCAGTGCTCCCAGTAATACCCAGTGACCCATCCCAGTGCTCCCAGTGCCCTCCCAGTGCTACCAGTAACACCCAGTGCCCTCCCAGTGCTCCCAGTGTCCTCCCAGTGCTCCCAGTATCACCCCAGTGCCATTCCCAGTGCTCCCAGTGCCCTCCCAGTATCCTCCTGGTGCCATTCCCAATGCTCCCAGTACCCTCCCAGTGCCATTCCCAATGCTCCCAGTGCCCCCCCAGTGCTCCCAGTATCCTCCTAGTGCCATTCCCAGTGCTCCCAGTAACCCACCGGTGCTCCCAGTAACACGGTGGGACTCATCCCAGTGCTCCCAGTAACACCCAGTGCCATTCCCAGTGCTCCCAGTGCCCCCAGTAACACCCAGCGCCCTCCCAGTGCTCCCAGTTCCCCCCATTCCCTTTCCCTCTCCCCGTTGTGCGCAGGCGCTGGAGCGTCGCTACGCGGCCGAGCTCCAGCAGGGGGCGCCGTCCCGGCAGTGCCGCTTCGAGTACGGCTGGGGCCTGGTGCGGAGCCGCTACCGGGAGGACACGGCCCGAGGGGTGGCGCTGCTCTCCGGTGAGGGGCGGGGCTAAACAAAGGGGCGGGGCCTGCTCCGGTACCGGGAGGACACGGCCCGAGGGGTGGCGCTGCTCTCCGGTGAGGGGCGGGGCTAAACAAAGGGGCGGGGCCTGCTGCGGTACCGGGAGGACACGGCCCGAGGGGTGGCGCTGCTCTCCGGTGAGGGGCGGGGCTAAACAAAGGGGCGGGGCCTGCTCCGGTACCGGGAGGACACGGCCCGAGGGGTGGCGCTGCTCTCCGGTGAGGGGCGGGGCTAAACAAAGGGGCGGGGCCTGCTCCGGTACCGGGAGGACACGGCCCGAGGGGTGGCGCTGCTCTCCGGTGAGGGGCGGGGCTAAACAAAGGGGCGGGGCCTGCTGCGGTACCGGGAGGACACGGCCCGAGGGGTGGCGCTGCTCTCCGGTGAGGGGCGGGGCTAAACAAAGGGGCGGGGCCTGCTCCGGTACCGGGAAGACACGGCCTGAGGGGTGGGCGGGGCTAAACTGGGGGCGGGGCTAAGCAAAGGGGCGGGGCCTGCTGCGGTACCGGGAGGACACGGCCCGAGGGGTGGCGCTGCTCTCCGGTGAGGGGCGGGGCTTACACAGGGAGAAAAATTTGGGAAAAAAATTGGGAAAATACACGGAAAAAAAAATTAGGAAAAAATTGGGGAAAAACAGGGGAAAATTTGGGAAAAATTTGGGAAAAAACACAGAAAAATTTGGCGAAAATCACGGAAAAAAATTGGGAAAAATTTGGGGAAAATCACGGAAAAATTGGGGAAAATCTGGGGAATAAAACTTGAACAATTTGGTAAAAATTTGGGAAAAAACACGGAAAAATTTGGGCAAAAAACCAGAACAAGTTGGGGAAAATTTGGGAAAAATTTGGGAAAAAACACGGAAAAAATTGGGGAAAAAAACCACGGAAAAATTAGGAAAAAATTGGGGGAAATTTGTGAAAAATTTGGGAAAAAATACGGAAAAATTTGGCAAAAAAAATGGGAAAAAACACAGGAAAATTTGGGTGAAAAAACCAGAACAATTTGGGAAAAAATTGGGGAAAATTTGGGAAAAACACGGAAAAAAATTGGGGGCCTCCTCCGGTACCGGGAGGACACGGCCCAAGGTGTGGGCGGGGCTAAACAAAAGGGGCGGGGCCTGCTGTGATACTGAAGGCCACGGCCCGCGAGTGGGCGGGGCTTATCCGCCTTGGGGGCGTGGTTGTGGGCGTGGCTAAAGCGGGGGCGTGGCCATGGCTGGGGGGACTTGGGGGAGTCCCTGGGGGGGATTTTGGGGAGTTTTGGGTGAAAATTTGGGGTTTTAGGGTCCCTGGGGAGGCATATTGGGGCTGTTTTGGGAGAATTTTTTGTGTTTTGGGGGTCCCTGGGGCAGTTTCGGGGTGAATCTTTGCGGTTTTGGGGTCCCTGGGGCAGTTTTGGGGTGACTCTTTGGGGTTTTGTGGTTTTGGGTAAATTTTGGGGTGAATCTTTGATGTTTTTGGGGTCCCCAGAGCTGCTGCCCGAGACGCCCCCGGAGGAGCAGCGAGACGTCCTGTTCTACCTGGCCCTGGGCTGCTACCGGCTCAAGGTGACATCAATGGGGACATTGGGGACACTGAGGGGACACTGGGGACATTGGGGACATTGGGGACATTGGGGGGACATTGAGGGGGGCTTGGGGGGATTGGGGACAGTGGGGACATTGAGGGGACATTGGGGACACTGAGGGGACATTGTGGACATCGGGGACATTGTGGGGACATGGTGGGGGCACGGGGTCTGTCCCCAGTGTCCCCACGGGAGTGACAGAGCTGCTGGCACAGCTGGAACAAGGGAGAGGGGGACAGGGAGGGGACACACGTGACACAGGTGACACACAGGTGACACAGGTGACACAGGTGACACTGGTGTCCCCTCAGGAGTACGAGCGCGCCCTGGAGCACCTGGAGCGCCTCCTGGTGGCCGAGCCGCAGAACGCGCAGGTGCTGAGACTGCGGAGCCGCGTCCGGAGCCGCCTGCGGAGGGGTGAGGGGACACTGGGGACATCAGTGGGGACAGTGGGGACACTGGGGGCGTTGGGGACATTGGGGTCAATGGGGACACTGGAGACAATGGGGACATCGGGGAGATTGGGGGCATTGGGGACAGTGGGGACAGTGGGGTCAATGGGGGGACATTGGGGACAATAATGGGGGGACAATGGTGGCATTGGGGACATTGGGGTCAATGGTGACATTGGGGACAATGGGGACATTGGGGTCAATGGGGACGTTGGGGAGATCGGGGACATTGGGGACAATGGGGACATTGGGGACATTGGGGAGATCGGGGACATTGGGGACAATGGGGACATTGGGGACATTGGGGACATTTAGCAAAAATGGGGAAAAATGAGAAAAAAATGGGAAAATGGGATTGGGGACATTTGGGGACACTGTGGGACATGGAGGACAGTGGGGACAGTGGGGACATTGCGGGGATTGGGGACACTGGGGACAGTGGGGACATTGCGGGGATTGGGGACACTGGGGACATTGGGGACATTGGGGGGACTGGGGACATTGGGGGGATTGGGGAGGTGCCAAAGCCCCCCCAGGTGCTGACATTGTCCCCCCATTGTCCCCATTGTACCCCCATTGTCCTCCCATTGTCCCCCATTGTCCCCATTGTCCCCATTGTCCCCCATTGTCCCCCCATTGTCCCCCCATTTTTGTCCCCATTGTCCCCCCATTGTCCCCCATTGTCCCCCCATTGTCCCCCCATTGTCCCCATTGTCCCCACTGTCCCCCCCATTGTCCCCACTGTCCCCCCATTGTCCCCCCATTGTCCCCCCATTGTCCCCATTGTCCCCATTGTCCCCACTGTCCCCCCCATTGTGTCCCCATTGTCCCCCCCATTGTCCCCCATTGTCCCCATTGTCCCCCCATTGTCCCCATTGTCCCCCCTCGGTCCCCCCCATTGTCCCCCCATTGTCCCCCCATTGTCCCCATTGTCCCCATTGTCCCCATTGTCCCCCCATTGTCCCCATTGTCCCCTCTGTCCCCCCATTGTCCCCATTGTCCCCCCATTGTCCCCCCATTGTTCCCCCATTGTCCCCATTGTCCCCATTGTCCCCTCTGTCCCCCCATTGTCCCCACTGTCCCCCCCATTGTCCCCCCATTGTCCCCATTGTCCCCTCTGTCCCCCCATTGTCCCCATTGTCCCCCCATTGTCCCCCCATTGTTCCCCCATTGTCCCCATTGTCCCCATTGTCCGCCCTTTGTCCCCATTGTCCCCTCTGTCCCCCCATTGTCCCCATTGTCCCCCTCATTGTCCCCACTGTCCCCCCCATTGTCCCCCCATTGTCCCCCCCATTGTCCCCCCATTGTCCCCCCTTTGTCCCCATTGTCCCCCCATTGTCCCCCCATTGTCCCCCCATTGTTCCCATTGGCCCCATTGTCCCCATTGTCCCCTCTGTCCCCGCCCCCCCAGACGGCCTGGTGGGCGCGGCCATCGTTGGGGGCGTGGTCATGGGCGTGGCCGGGCTGGTGGGCGTGGCCATCGCTCGCGCCCGGCACTGACCACGCCCCCTCCCCGGTGGTTGGGGGCGGGGCCTGCACGATGACGCCGCGGAGATTACGTCAGGGTGCGGCGGAGTGACGTCATGGCCCGCGGTGACGTCAGAGCCGCCCCCTCCCCCCCCAGTGCCTTGGGGTGTCCCCCAGCCCCTCCCCCACTCCCCCCCCCCGATGTAAATAAACCTGATTGGGCGCCGGGAGTGACGTCACTGAGGGGGCGGGGCTGGGGTCACCTGGGCACCCCAAATGTCACCTGAGCCCCCCAATTGTCACCTGAATCCCCCCAGAGCCCCCCAAGTGTCACCTGAACCCCTCTGAGTGTCCCCAAATGTCACCTGGGCACCCCCGAAATGTCACCTGGCCCCCCCAAATGTCCCCAAATGTCACTTGAGCCCCCCAGATGTCACCTGAGCCCCTCTGAGTGTCCCCAAATGCCACCAGAGCCCCCCCAAGTGTCCCCAAGTGTCACCTGAGCCCTCCCCGAGTGTCCCCAAATGTCACCTGGGTCCCCCAAGTGTCACCTGAGCCCCCCCCCGAGTGTCCCCAAATGTCACCTGAGCCCCCCAAATGTCACCTGAGCCCCCTCAGAGCCCCCCAAATGCCACTTGAGCCCCCCCAAGTGTCCCCAGAGCCCCCCCCAATTGTCCCCAAGTGTCACCTGAGCCCCCCCCCACAGCCCCCCCGCGGTTTTTGCGTCACAGGAAGGGGCCCGGGGGGGGGGGGAGGGGCGGCCAGGACCCCTCTGAGGAGGGGGGAGGGGCAGGGGCAGGAAGGGGGGAGTGGGGGAGGGGCAGGAAGGGGGGGGGGAGGGGCGGCTCCGGACACACCTGGTTCCTTCCTGGGGGGAGGGGCGGGGGGGGGGGGGGGGGGGGCATCCCCCAAACCCCGGCCACGCCCCTCCGGAGTGACCAGTGCCGGACAGGAGCGCCGACCAGTTAAACCAGTGCCGGACACCAGTACAGACCAGTTTAACCAGTACAGACCAGTTAAACCAGCGCCGGACACCAGTACAGACCAGTTAAACCAGTACAGACCAGTTAAACCAGCGCCGGACACCAGTACAGACCAGTTAAACCAGTACAGACCAGTTTAACCAGTGCCGGACACCAGTGCCAACCAGTTAAACCAGCGCCGGACAGCGGGGACACCAGTACAGACCAGTGACACCGGTGACAGCAGTGACAGCAGTGACATCCCAGCTGGACACCAGTACAAACCAGTTAAACCAGTGCCGGACACCAGTGCAGACCAGTTAAACCAGTACAGACCAGTGACAGCAGTGCCGGACAGTGAGGACACCAGTTAAACCAGTATAAACCAGTTAAACCAGTGCCGGACAGCGGGGACAGCAGTGACACCGGTGACAGCAGTGACACCAGTGACATCCCAGCTGGACACCAGTATAAACCAGTTAAACCAGTGCCGGACAGCGGGGACAGCAGTGACACCGGTGACAGCAGTGACAGCAGTGACATCCCAGCTGGACACCAGTACAAACCAGTTAAACCAGTGCCGGACAGCGAGGACAGCAGTGACACCGGTGACATCCTGACCGGACAGTGCTGACCAGTGACAGCAGTGACACCGGTGACAGCAGTGACACCGGTGACAGCAGTGACACCAGTGCCATCCCAGCTGGACACCGGTGACATCCTGACCCAGTGGCGCTGACCAGTGCTGGACACCAGTGACACCAGTACAGGACACCAGTGACCATCACCACCAGTGACCACCGGTGTCACCGGTGCCACCAGTGACCATCACCAGCAGTGACCGCTGACCACTGACCAGTGCTCCCAGTGCCACCAGTGACCATCACCACCAGTGACCATCACCACCAGTGACCACCTGTGACCGGTGACCATCGCCACCAGTGCCACCAGTGACCACTGACCAGTGCCACCAGTGACCATCACTCCCAGTGACCACCAGTGACCATCGCCACAAGTGCCACCAGTCACCACCACTGACCATCACCACCAGTGACCGCTGCCCAGTGCCACCAGTGACCATCCCCACCAGTTCCACCAGTGACCATCATCACCGGTGCCACCAGTGACCATCACCAGCAGTGACCAGTGACCATCACCACCAGTGACCACCAGTGACCAGTGACCATCACCACCAGTGACCACCAGTGACCACCAGTGACCAGTGACCATCATCACCGGTGCCACCAGTGACCACCAGTGATCAGTGACCATCACCACCAGTGACACCAGTGACCACTGACCAGTGCCACCAGTGACCATCACTCCCAGTGACCACCAGTGACCATCGCCACAAGTGCCACCAGTCACCACCACTGACCATCACCACCAGTGACCGCTGCCCAGTGCCACCAGTGACCATCCCCACCAGTTCCACCAGTGACCATCATCACCGGTGCCACCAGTGACCATCACCAGCAGTGACCAGTGACCATCACCACCAGTGCCACCAGTGACCATCACCACCAGTGACCATCACCACCGGTGCCACCAGTGACCATCACCAGCAGTGACCAGTGACCATCACCACCAGTGACCACCAGTGACCAGTGACCATCACCACCAGTGACCACCAGTGACCACCAGTGACCAGTGACCATCATCACCGGTGCCACCAGTGACCACCAGTGACCAGTGACCATCACCACCGGTGACACCAGTGCCCATCACCACCAGTGACCATCACCACCAGTGCCACCAGTGACCAGTGACCATCGCCACCAGTGCCACCAGTGACCACCAGTGACCATCACTCCCAGTGACCACCAGTGACCACCAGTGACCACCAGTGACCATCACCACCAGTGCCACCAGTGACCAGTGCCCATCACCACCAGTGCCACCAGTGCCCGCTGCCCGGCGTCCCCGGCGTCCCCGGCGTCCCCGATGGCTCCGGGCGCGTGTCCCCAGGCGCCGGTGGCCGCGCTGGCCGCGGTGGCCGTGGCCGTGTCCGGCTGGGGGCTCCTGGTGGCCGCGGTGGCCGCGGGCGTGTGGGGGATGGGCGGGGGCCAGACCAGCGCTGTCACCGCCGTCATTGTCACCCGCGGCCTCTGGGCCGACTGCGGCACCGACGCCAGCGGGGTCGCGTCCTGCGTGCCGCTGCTGTCACTCGTCACCCTGCCCGGTACCTTGGGGACATCGGGGACAGTGGGGGGGTTGGGGACATTGGGGACAGTGGGGACATTGGGGGGGTTGGGGACATTGGGGACATTGGGGACATTGGGGACATTGGGGGGGTTGGGGACATTGGGGACATTGAGGGGACATTGTGGGGATTGGGGACAGAGGGCCAGGAGGGGACATTGGGGACATTGGGGACATTGGGGACATTGCCAGCAGCAGGATGGGGCCAGGGCCAGGACGGGAGGGGGGGGGACAGGAAGGACAGGGGGACATTGGGGACATCGGGGACGTCAGTGAGGGGACAGGGATGGGGACAGGAAGGGACAGGGAGGGGACACGGGCACGGGGGGAGGGGGGACACTGGGGGGACATCGAGGGACATTGGAGGGACATTGGGGACATTGCAGGGATTGGAGACAGTGGGGGGACATTGGGGACATTGGGGGGACATTGGGGACATTGGGGACACTGGGGAGGACACCAGGGGGACATTGGGGGGGACATCGAGGGACATTTGGGGGGGCATTGGGGACATTGGGGATATTGGGGGTGACATTGGGGTGACATTGGGGGGGGTGACATTGAGGTGACCTTGGGGTGACCTTGAAGGGGGGACATTGGGGACAAGGGGGGGTGTGGGACATTGGGGACGCTGGGGACATTGGGGGGACATTGGGGACATTGGGGAGGACACCAGGGGGACATCGGGGTGACCTTGGGGTGGTGACTTTGGGGGACACTGGGGGGACATTGGGGGGGTGACATTGGAGTGACCTTGGGGACATTGGGGTGACCTTGAAGGAGGGACATTGGGGGGACATTGGGGACATTGAGGTGACCTTGGAGTGACCTTGGGGACATCGGGGGACATTGCGGGGTGTGGGACATTGGGGTGACCTTGGGGACATTGGGGGGACATTGGGGTGACATTGGGGACACTGGGGGTACATTGGGCCATTGGGGACATCAGGATGACATTGGGGTGACCTTGGGGACATTGAGGACATTGGGGACCTTGAGGTGACCTTGGGGACATTGTGGACATTGGGGGGACATTGGGGACACAGGGATGACATTGAGGGGGAACATTAGGGTGACGTTGAGGGGACATTGGGAATGACCCTGCGGTGACATTGGGGTGACACAGGGGTGGTGACACTGGGGGGACATTGAGGGGACATTGGGGGACATTGCAGGGGTGACATTTGGGACATTGGGGACATCGGGGGACATTGGGGACAAAGGGGGTGTGGGACATTGGGGGACATTGGGGTGACCTTGGGGACATCAGGGGGACATTGGGGACACCAGGGGGACATTGGGCCATTGGGGACATCAGGATGACATTGGGGTGACCTTGGGGACATTGGGGGCACTTTGGAGATTTTGGGACATTGTGGTGACATTGGGGACATTGGGGGGACATTGAGGACATTGGGGACATTGTGGTGACGTTGGGGACATTGGGGACATTGGGGGGACACTGGGGACAAGGGGGGGTTGTGGGCCATCGGGGTGACCTTGGAGTGACCTTGGGGCCATTGAGGGGACATTGGGGACATTGGGAGGACATTGGGGCCATTGGGGTGACCTTGGGGACATTGGGGCCATTGGGCCATTGGGGGGACATTGGGGACATTGGGGTGACCTTGGGACATTGGGTGACCTTGGGACATTGAGGGGACATTGGGGACGTTGGGGGGACAATTGGAGTGACCTTGGGGCCATTGAGGGGACATTGGGGACACTGGGGTGACCTTGGGGACATTGGGGGACATTGGGGCCATTGGGGACATTGGACCATTGGGAGGACATTGGGGACATTGGGGACATTGGGGCCATTGGGGTGACCTTGGGGACATTGAGGGGACATTGGGACATTGGGGGGACATTGGGGACATTGAGGGGACATTGGGGTGACCTTGGGGACATTGG